GCATTGTGTTTGGAGACAAAGCAGTTTGAGCCATGTCTAATTATCAATAGTTCCAACCAATTAATGGCACCCATTAATACCTTGCAGCATAACAAAAACTCCTGCCATTTCCTTCCAGTAGAGTTTAATGGATTGTCACCCTTGATGGATTTATCTCCCAGATAGAAAGAAACAGCAATAATGATGGGTGTCATGGATCTTCCCCAAAAAGGAGAATAGAGAGTAGAAAGAAAGGATTAATCCCAGAGAGGACAGTGCAGAGAGTGTAGTCCCAGAATGGACAGAGGGAATTTGAGTGCCATAATAAAAAACCGTTTGAAGCTGAGCAGTCTGCTGTGCTGCGGGACACCAGAACTCTTAAGGCCTCTCCCCCTCTTCCCTTTAAAACTCCCCTGGGAGCTGACCAAAAGAAGGAGCTCTCCGAGGTACAGTTGCTACAGATCACCAGAGAAGAGCCAGAGTCTCAAAGCCAGAGGCTTGCCCTTTGTAAAGCCATACCAGAGCTGGATTCAGGGGATCTTTCAGAAGAGGGAGACTGAATAAGGCCTCTTCTTGCAGTCGCAAGGCAGAGCTTCCCTTGAAAACAGTGTGATCTGTGACGGAGGGGGGGAAGAGGGGACATATGAAGCACCTAGAGCAATCCCCACTCACCCACGAGTGTAGGTGAATAGAAATCCTTAAGCCACTGGTTTTGGAGGGAGATGGGGATAGAGAAGAGGGTTACGGATTGCACAAGTCCTTGCAATTGCAAGAGATGGCACTCAAGATCCCTGTGGTGGGGATGGAGGAGTGCAAGGAGCCCCTGGTGTGCAGAAATGAGCTCAGTCCATACAAGCTATGCTGTGTATGATTATGTGCAATAAGAATTTTTCAGAGCAGCAGTAAGTTGTTTTACTGATTTTTACCTTGTTCTGGCTTTTGCAAGTACCACCATTATGAAAAGTATATGTTAACTACTGGTAAAAAGCTAACGGGGAAAAACTTTGAAAATTAGATAGCAGTCTCTATTTATGGCATTATAGGCATTATATTATATCTGCTACTGAAAACAATTATTTTAATATATGTTCTGTATTTAAGATTAAGTCTTCATTCCTTAGTGTGAAAGCTGGATTTTCCATTCCCATGTGATACCAATGTGAAAGAATTAAAACTGTATTTTTCATCTTAGGTTGATGCATGTCAAGGAGATTTAAGCACGCTGGCAAATGTGGTAACTTCATTAGCAAATCTCAGTAAATCCAAAAACATGTCTCAAAGTAGTGCTGAGGTATCTATGATTGAAAATTTAAGCAATGGAGATACGTCGTTGTCTGAACTCCAGCAAGAAGAACAAGCAAGCAGTGATGTCACAAGGTAAGGCATACTACATCTTTAAATACAGTTATTTTTTATGGTCTCCTTGCCACCTCAGTACAGTACTTACATTTTACACAAAACAATGCAGTTTATCTTCAGGAAAAATCATTACAATGACAAACTGAACACGTTGAAGAATAATCATACAAAGGTTGCTACTTGTGTTCTCAATAAAGTAACTTGGTAATTAAGTTCTCTTGTAGAAATAAATACTAGCATACTTATGGTTGAACAACTGCATTCATGTGCCAGACATTGTACAAACCTTTGTTTGTATTTGTTTTCATCTGAATCATTTAAGTGGTGGTGTAGGTGTAAGTAAGATAATTGGCACTACAGCAGCACTAATCCAGTTAATTTTTCTGTCCTGGTCCTGCCCACCCTTTTATCAGCAGCTCATGCAGTGGTCCAAGAGTAGCCAAGGCAGTATTCATTCACTACATACCTTTCATCCTATGAGAACCAAAAATCTGCTATATTATACCAATGCAAATTTGGACTAAATCCACTGGGACAAGGATTGCTGTAAACCCGCACAGCTCTTTTGACTTCAGGAGATGGTCTGGCCTTATAGATTTAGTGAATTTACTTTGTACAGTATAAATGCAAGTGGATTTTGGCACTTTCTTTTGTTATGTGTCTCTGCCTCACTTGTGTCTTACACAATCTCCACTGAAGTCAGTGAGAGTCTTTTCCATTGACTTCAGTAGGAGCTGGATTGGCCCTTTACTATTCTTTGTCCAACCAGTGCACCAAAAGAGGGAGAGAGGATGCTGAAGAATATAACACTGTGTGATTATGTACTTCAAGACTCTGTGATGAATGCTTATAAGAACCCAGACATAAGGTTGCACAGGTAAACTTCACCTTCACTTTTCACAAAAATCAAAACTGATCTAAGCCTCACTGTATCTAATTCTCTTTATATTTCAGTTAGATCTGTTGTCTTGTCTATATCTAGCTAACAGCCCAATTGTCCATATACATTCTTTATGGGTATTTGATAGATCTGTATATACTTATCAATGAATCAGATAGATAAAAAGAAAAATAGAGTTATCCTTAATAAAGGACGGCTATGATGTGCATAACAAATGCAAACACCTTTTTCCCATTTCATGATCTCCGATTTAATTTCTTCTGGCCAGGCAGTTATTCTAGATCAGGGGTTTTCAACCTTTTTTAGCAAGTGTACCCCTTCTGGTGTTGGAGGCTGAATGTAGGGTGGGGGGTGGTTTGGGGGGTGGTACTCGCATGCAGCCGCTGTCCACCACTCCCATGCCACTGCAGATGTCCACTGTGCCACCACTGCACCCCGCTTTCCCACATCCAGTTCCACATGCAGCTCCATGGGCTGCTTACAAGCTTCACACCCAGCCAGTTGTGCGCTGCCCATCAGCAGCCCACAGAGCTGCATGCGCAGCCAGCCATGGGAAACCACCGTGGGGTGGCGGTGGCCTCTGCCGCGTGCAACACCCCTTTCCCCCACCCCGTCGGGCTGGGCGATGCCTATGTGGCCTGCAGAGGGTTGCGCCTGCCCTTGCCCCCACCCCTCCAGCCCTGCTCCTAGGAGTGGGCATAGAAACACACTAACCCCCCTGCCATTGAGACTCTCGTAGTGGCCATTCAGGAGAGTGAGCTGGGGTGGGGAGGTGCCGCGGTGTGCTAGATGGGGCTGGCGGCACCTAGTGCACCCCTCCCCCAGGTAACAGACAGACGCCCTGGGGGAGACACTGCCACAGCACCCTGGGGCGCTCTTCGTCCCCACCCACCTGCCCATGCATACCCCCAAAGACCTTTCTAAGTACCCCTGGAGGTACACATACTCTTGGCTCATAACCCCTGCTCTAAATGTTCCTTTCTTTCAAATGTTACCTTGCAATTTCTACTTATGAAGAAGGCAGCATAGAGGTGCACCTTATAGACTAACTGAATCAGAGCTGCATAAGCTTTTGTGAGCCCTAGCTCAGGGGTTGTCAACTGGGGGTACATGTACCCCTAGGAGTACTTGGGAAGGTCCTAGGGGGTACGCCTGGGCAGGTGGGGACAGAGCACCACCACCCTGCACCGCTGCCTCCCAGGAGCAGAGCCGGGGGGGGCGGAGCAAGGGCAGTGGCCACCATCCGCCACCTGGAATGCCGCTTTCCCATAGCCAGTTGCACGTGCGGTTCTGTGGGCTGCTGACGGGTGGTGTGTGATTGGTCGGGTGCAAGGCCTGTCAGCAGCCTACGGAGCTGCATGTGTGACCGGCTGTGGGAAAGTGGGGCATGGCAGCGGCAGTGTGGGATGGTGAGTGGGTGTGGTGGCTGCCACATGTCCGGCCACTGCAACCAGAAGGGGGGCAATTCTTTAAAAAGGTTGAAAACCCCTAGCTTATTTCATCACATGCACCAGTTCACCAAAATGAGAGAGTGGATTCTGAAGAATAGAACTGTGTGGTTATACTTCAAGACTTTGTGAAGCAATTTTGGTTTCTATGGCATAAAATGCATTCTTGCTCCTGGAGAGATACAACACAATGTTCATGCTGATGGATCCATTTCAGTTGATTGCTCAAACCTTGGTGTGTTGTTGTCTTTTGTTTCATGTTGTTGTCTTTTCGTTCTACATCACATAACATCTAAGCATGTGACATCATATGCAGGATTACCTCTCCTCTGTCTACAAACAGGGATCAGCTTAATATACATTTTTGGTGCACACAGCATGTGTATGATGTTCCTAGTTCCTCTAAGTGCTGAGATTTGGTGAAAGAGCTATGAGAATAGCATGCATAGGAGTTCCCTTTTAACCCCCTGTACCAACCAGAACAATAGGAAACAATCAGTTTTAACCATTGAGCCATAGGCAGTGTACAAATTTTACAGGGTACTTTTACATTTCACAGAAGACTATTTCACATCACCTTACAAGAGCTAAGAGCAGTACCTGGGGTATGCAAGGGACACTTATTCCTGTTCAAGCAGAAGCACTTTTGTTCAAGCTTATTGGACAACATGACCATAGCTCAGGGGTAGGCAATGTTTTTTTGGCTAGAGTGCCAAAAAGCATCATAATGCCTACCTTGGAAGGTGCCAGAGTGCCGGCATGGCAGAAAAACAAAATGAGGGCAAAGGGTACATGGCAGGATGCCCTGCTTGTGCCCCACAGCCTGTGCTCTGTGGCTGCCAGCAGCTACCCTGGCTCTGGGTAGCTGCTGGATCCCGGGCTGCTCCCAGCAGGACTTGCAGTGTCCCAGCTGCCTGCTGGGAGCAGCCCAGGATCCCGGCTGCCAGCAGCTCGAGACGGGGCCGGCTGCAGCCGGGAGGCTCCAAACAGCTGTGCTGGGCTCTGGCATCAGCTCTACACCAGCGTGTGCAGGTGCACCTTGGAGTGGGCGGTGGGGGAGGGGCCTGAGGCAGTGCAGCCCCTGTCTCTCCGCCGCTTCTAGCATGGAGGTGATAAGCCCGGCGCAGCTGTTTGGCGCCAGCCCAGGCTCTGGGCAGCTGCAGCAAGGAGCGGGCAGAGTGCAAACAGCTCTGCCGGGCTGCACAGCTCTGGCATCAGCTCTGTGCTAGGGGCAACTGCACGGGCACCTCAGGGCAGGCAGCTGGAACACTGCAAGCCCTGCTGGGAGCAGCCCGGGCTCCATTGCTGGCAGCAGCTACCCGGAGCCAGGGCTGGCTGCAGCCGGGAGGCTCTAAACAGCTGTGCTGCAGCGTGCCACGCTGGGCACGCATGCCAGGGGTTGCCAACCCCTGCCATAGCTTATCAGATAAACAAACCTGAGGAAACCCAATCCTCCCAGGCATGTATGTGAGCAGTAAGACTCTTGAATTGGTGTATGCATCATCCATTTACCTTAATTCTTTCCTAATCGTCAGAACATTGTCGCCAGCAGTCCATGTAAGCATCACAGAGATTATGAAAGGTATTTCTTGATTCAGTGGCACAACTGGTGTTTCAGAGTTAGGGTAACTGGTTTGCAACCAGTATGAAGAAGAACTATTAAAAAATTTTGTTTCAGGGATGGTACAAGTTAAGGCTGTTTGAGAGAGACTTTTGCAATCAAATGGTCAAGTCAGCTGTTACGCATTTCTGCCAATGCTATTAATACTAAGGATCCTAAGGAAAACTGAACAGGATAGAGTAAAGCTCAGTCTAGTAACCTCTCTATGGCCATGAAAATTCTTGTTTCCTTCTCCAAACTTCTGTCCAGTTCCTGATAATGGTAATGCTCACTCAGAGCCATTGCAGTCTGTGTGGCCTGTCTAAAGATATCAAAACTAAGATGTGTGCAGGAAAGCAGAATGGAGCTACAGTAAGGTAGTGTTGCAGTTCTTCATGAAAGCTCTGTTCACCATTCTCCTACTTAGTGCACTGCTGGGTAGTCTCTCCCTAGGGAATGCACATGGAGGCAAGTACTTGAAAAAAGGTTACTTTTGCCATTCAGTAACTGGAGTTTTTCAATAAGTGTTCATTCCACTTCCTACCGTCCTTTGCATGGTTTTCAGGTTTCTGTGCTATAGGTAAGTGGAGACTCGTAATATGGCAAGAACAGGAGTGGCAGTTGGTCATGCATCCTCCTTTAAGTCCCATGCACTAAACCAAGGGCTGTATCAGTCACATTGTGGGATCAGAAGGTGGATGAGGCACTCTTCAAACAGGTGACAAATCTGTCCAAGAGCCATGGGATGGTACTGATGGGAGACATCAATTTTCTGGACATCTGCTGGAAAATAAAATGTCCAGCCAGTTTCTCATTTGTGTGGAGGACAACTATATGTTCTAGAAAGCAGAGGATACAACTAGGGGATCCTCTATCTTGGTTCTTGTCCTACAAGCAGGGAAGAACTTGTGGAGGATGTGAAGGTGATTGGTAACTTGGGAGGAAGTGATCATGATATGATAGAATTCCAGATCTTGAGGCAGGGAAAGCATGAAGTCAGCAAAACTAAGATGCTAGATTTCAAAAAAGCAGTTTTAACCAGACTGAGGGAGCTAATAGGCATGGGGCCATGGGAAGACAGACTGAAGGGTAAAGGCACCCAGGAGGGCTTGGAGGTTCTAAAAAGCACAGTATTGAAATCCCAACAAGAAACTGTCCCAACATGATGGATGCACAAGAAGAATGGCAGGAGACCAATGTGGCTGCAGAAAGAGCTTCTAAAATGCCTCAAATGCAAAAGGAAAACATGCAGGCAATGGAAGAATGGGCAGGTCACCAAGGAAGCATACCAGGAAATAGCAAGAACCTGCAGGGACAAAATCAGGAAGGCAAAGATAAAAAAAAACAACAAGTTGCACCTGACAGAGGAGTTAAGAACAACAAGAAGAGGTACTATGTATGTTGGCCAGAAAAGAAGGACCAAGAACCTATGGGTCCTCTGTTAACAAGCTGGGCAGAACTCTTAACAGAAAATACAAAGGAAGTGGATCTACTCAACAGTTACTTTGCCTCAGTCTTCACAAAAAAAAATTAAGCTGCAGCCAGATACCTAATAAGGATTATCTGGGTAAGGAAGGGGACAAGCTGAGGAAGGAGATAACAAAGGAGACAATCAGAGAGGTTTTGATGGGTCTGAGTGAATTCAGGTTAGCAGGGCCAAATGAACTTTGTCCCAGGATACTGCAGGCACTAGCAGAGGAGATCCTTTGGCAGTCATCTTTATGAAGTTGTGGGAGATGGGCCAGATTCCAGAGGACTGGAAAAGGGCCAACATAGTTCCCGGGGACCTACAGACTGCTTAGCCTCACCTCAATACTTGAGAAATTCTGGGAGAATACCCTAAGAAAGGCCAGTTGCAAGCATCTGAAGGAGGAAAAGCTGATCACAAGCAGCCAACATGGATTTATGAAAAACAAATTGTGTCAAACAAACTTGATCTCCTTAACCAAGTAACTGCTGGGTGGATGAAGGGAATGGTGTGGATATAATGTATCTGGACTTCAGCAAGGCTTTTGATGAGGTGCCACATGACATTCTCACAAAGAAACTGGAGAAATGTGAGTTGGAAAAACTACTATAAGGTGGAACAAGAACTGGCTTAATCTCAAGCAAAGGGTAATTGTCAACGGGTCAGTGTCAGAATGGCAAGAGGTATCAAGTGAAATCCCACAGAGGTCTGTCTTGGGCTTAATGCTGTTCAATGCAATTATTAATGATTTGGAAGCTGGCATAGAAAACTTCCTGAGCAAGTCTGTAGATGATGTGAAACTGGGAAAGATTGCAAACATTGGAGGATGCAAGCACAATTAGAAGGATCTTGACAGATTGGAAAGTTAGGCTAGGGCTAACAGGATGAAATTTGAGGCAGACAAAAGCAGGGTGCTACACCTTAGGGAGAACAATCAAAATCAAATATAAAATGAGTGACACTTGGCTGGTTGGCAGCACTATGGAAAAGGACTTGGGAGTCTTGGTAAATCACAAGACTCAATACGAGTCTGCAGCGCAATGCAGCCGCATGGAAGACAAATGCAGTTTTGGGGTGCCTCAATAGAAGCATTAGGTACAGGGCATGGGAGGTGATAGTGCCTCTTTACTCAGCACTAGTTAGGCCTCATCTGGAGTATTGTGTGCTGTTCTGGGTTCCACGTTTTAAAATGGACATGGAGAAGTTAGAGAGGGTCCAGAGATGGGCAACAGACAGTAAAGGGCTTGGAAAGCAAGTCATATGAGGAGAGACTGAAGAAGCTAGTTTTGTTCAGCTTGTGGGAAGATGCTTAAGAGGGATCACGATAGCTGTTTACAAACATTTCAAGGGCTTCCATAAAGAAGAGGGAAAGTACCTTTTCTTTTTTGCTGCAGAAAGGAGGACATGGACCTATGGCTTGAAGTTGCAGCAAAGTAAGTTGAGACTGAGCATCTGGGAAAAACTTCTTCACTGATAAAATAGTCAGTACAGTAGACCACCTAGGGAAGTTGTGGACTCTCCATCACTGGAGGTGTTCAAGGCAAGGTTAGACACCCACTGGGCAGGGATGATCTAGGCGTAGCTATTCCTATATTCTACTATGGGGATTTCCCATGCTTCTGGGCTTTGCTGTTTGCCCCTATCCCATTTTACTACATGTCAGGGTGTTTTTAAGCCTCCCTCAGAGTCATTGGGTATTGGCTACAGCAAAGGCTGGTGACTTTTCCTGGGGTGTGCCAGTGCTCCTTCTGGGACCAAACCTGTGGAGGTTCCTGGCTAGAGCTTCTTGCTTCTCCACTAGGGTTTAGACCGATCACCATGTTTGGGATCAGGAAGGAATTTTACCTCATGGTCAGATTGGTATAGACCACGGGTGCCCAACCTTTTTGAATGTGGGGCCGGATCACGAACTTTTTATCACCCAGTGGGCTGGCGAGCCATATTCAAAGACCTCACAGGAAATGGTATTGCATCAGGAAGTGATGTCACGTGACCTTTGACACCAATGAAGTTGCAGGAAGTGACAATGAACAGGACATCATTTTTCTGTGCAGGGGATGGACTAGATTAGGGTTGCCCAGCTGACTACCTGCAAGCCACATGTGGCCCATAAAGGGCCAGGATGTCGCCTACAGTCTACATGGGGTCTGCAAGCAGTTAATATATAGGGCATGGGCCTGGACAGCCACCTCTCCCACTGCTGTGCGAGGGGGAAAGGCCGCGGGGGGGTAGGAGTGGTCCATGTCCTGCTATTGTAGCCTGTATGGCTGAGGATGGGGGGCTGCATGCTACTAGAGCAGCCTGTGCAGTGAGGGGGTTCTAGGGGTCCACCCCCACCACGTGCAGCCTGTGCAACACATGTTGGTATCATCTGGGGCCCACAGCCTCACTAGATCTGAACAGCCCTGGACTAGCTTATCCTTGAGATCTCTTCCACGTCTCTGCAGTATATGCCTACAATTTCTGTTTAATTAACCACAATGACCATGTTACTTCCTGTTACTGGTTAACTGTTTTCTTTTAAAATTAAGACCACAGTAAAGTTAAATACCTGTGTATAACACCAAGGGACGTCCTTGATTTAGCACAACATGCTTGTTTTCAAGGATGAATGCAGCTGGAGCCATAAGGGGAAGTTTGTGCTGTCCATTTCTGCCAACATAAAGTGTGTGCAAGTGTCCTTTACTAACTTGATCATGGTCATTGTGGTTAATTAAATAGAAATTGTAGGCATATACTGCAGCTGTGGGGGTGGGCCCCTAGGACTCCCTCACTGCATGGGCTGCTCCAGCAGCATGCAGACCCCCATCCTCAGCCATGCAGGCTACATTAGGAGGACCTGAACCGCCTGGACATAGAGCGCATCTGGGCTGGGCTCCTCCTGCCTCCCACCCAGCCCGGCTCCGGCAACTGCGTGCCCTGCAGCCTTGGCCCAGCCTAACCCCAAGGTGCCCCCAGCTCTGTGCGGGGCCTTACCCAGTGCCTCTGTCTACACGCATGCGGGCAGGGTGCAGGCCATGGTGCAGCTCCCCCGGCCATGCGCCGGGGGCAAGAGGCAGAGCCAGAGAAGAAGTCCAATTAGGCGTGGCTGGGGCAGCGCCGCGCCGCGCAGCCCTTGGGGCAGTGGCGGCAGGACCTGGCTTACATGATGAGCCCGGTCCTGCGGGGGTAAGCAGCTCCCCTCCCCTCGCTACCGGCTGGGGCCCGCGGCCCAGCCCTGCCCGCCTCGCCTCGCTGCTGCCCCACCGCCACCACCGCCGTGGAGTGTGGAGCAGGCGCTAGCACTCCTCGCCTGTCCCGAGCAAGGGACCTAGGGGCAGCGAAAATGGCTTGGCGGGCCGCATGTTGGACAAACCTGGTATAGACTGTGGGGTTTTTTTTCTTTCTTCTGTAGCAGGGGGTGTGGCCCTTTACCCAGGATCTCTTGAACCTATATTAACAAAATTTTATGGAAGGAGGATGTTGGTTGCCATGGTTTCCCTGTTTTACCTGTGGCAGGTTAAGGCATTAGGTTTGTGTTGTGTCAGGGTTGATGATAGTCTATTATGTAGAGTTTAGATTATGGTTTGTATGGGATGGCTTGGATAGGGATGATCCTGTTTCAGGCAGGGAGTTGGACTACGAGATGACCTTCACAGGTCTCTTCCAGCCCTACTTTTCTATGATTCAAGGACCCTGTGACCACAGATTTCATCATCTTTCTTTTCTGGCCTGTCGTCTTCTTAAACGATGTCTCTATTAGACCAGAAGGGCTCAACTTTTTGGCCCTGCAAGCCAGATGAGTGGCTCACGGTTAGTCTGTGGGCCACATGGAGTCTGTTCACCAGGATCAGGCCCTGGAGCCTGGCACTGGGGAACAGTATCAATGCTCTCTCCTGCTGCCAAATTTCCAGACTGCTGGGGAGTTTCACGGCCTGGATGACACAGTTGTCTCACAGGTTGGGGATTGAACATCCCTGTATTAAACAAAAAAAAATGGGGAGAGAGAGAGAGAGTGCAAACATGATACAGGGAACAAAGTGTACATCTAAATATAAGTGACAAGCTGATACAGACTGTCTATGCTGAGGACTACATTAAACTGAGATTTTTCTCTCTTTTGTCTTCTCATAGGGCATTCGATACTCTTGCAAAAGCATTAAATCCTGGAGAGAATGCAGCATGTCAAAATTCAGAAAGTATTGAAGCTAGCGTACATTTGCTTGGTGGAGAAGCAAGCATGAATATTGTTGAAATAGAAGGGCCACTTCTCAGCGATGCACATGTAGCTTTCAGGGTATTTTTATACTTTTTGACAATTTATAAATATTATAACAAAATTCTTATCAATATTAAAAGTTCAAGAACTTGATGCATATTTGTTGTTTGACTTTATTAGTATTCATGTTCTGATGAATGCACTGCTTTTGTTCAATGGTTAGCTGCTACTTGTTCAGGAAAATTAACTTGCCTCCTGACTTTTGGTAGCACAGTTCATTATGTATCTTATATTTCCTTCAAAATCAGATGGCAAACCAATACTAGGGGATTTAAACCTCTGTGTTGTTGCAAAGCAGCAGAGAATGTCAAATTTTACAAATATTATATGTTTTAATCCTAGACAAATGGGTTAAATTTGTTCCGTGGTTAGATCTGTGGCCCAGAGGTGCCTTTGTGTTAGTGATTCTCCTTTGTTTGCATATCCAGTTGCCATATGGCATTGTGACTTTGACCATTATGGAAAATGGCAACAAAATGAGAGACTTTTTTTTCCAGAAGGCGCCAAATACTACTCATTTTTATTTCCACCCTGTGAGCCTACAGAACTTTCTCTATATTTGTCCTTTATTAACATATGCAGACCACATGAGCACATCAAAGGTTCTTCAATGCTGATCTTACATTGGACATTGTGTCCCTTACAATCAGCCCTTGTTTTGTTGCCTGGTAATCATAAATTTAGTGTAAATCCTAGAACAAAATTTTCTTTTCTTAAACTGCATTTATCCATGTGGTTTTAATTACATTCGTTTATATAATAGAGCCAAATGTTAATCTATGAGGGCAATTCAAAACTTTGGGTCAAGTCCTGCTTCCCTTAATCATGCAGATAAGCCCATTGTTTTTTAGTATAATTACCTGTAAGAGATTTTTAGCCATTGCTGGTTGTTGTAAAAAACTTATTTTCTTGAGCAGTTCTAGAGCATCAGGCATCTTGTGTGTGCTGAGCATCATGTGTATCATATTCAGACATGAGAACAGTTGTTTATTTGTAAAGTAAATAATTAAAAATTGCAAACCAAAGAACTTTTAAAATACCTTTTCTTCCTAAAACTAGTAATTTTGGCAATTCACCTAATTTTTCAGGCCTTTTATTCCACTCCTCTGGGGAAAGCTATGGAAAGGTATGATGCCTCCCAATTTTTTTTAATATACATATATGTGTGTATATATATATCTATTTCTGTAAATGTAAGGAACTTGATCAAAATATACTTAAGGCATATCTTCTAAAAAGAATTCTATTAAAAATGTCTCGAAAGTTTTCATTAAAACATAATTTGGATCTTTTATCTCTGAATTTCCTAGATATGATCACTTGTTTAATGTGTGGAATTCAGTTACATTTGCCCTATTTTTTGTTGCTTGTAATTATATATGAATTTAACAATTGTGGCTAATATTGAACAAAGGCAGTCATAAAATTTATTTTGAGATTGTTTCTTGTATTATTTTTATTTTTTTAAATGATCAAACTTTTCTATGTGAAAGATCCTCAGGTTTTTTTTTCTGATTAAAATTTTATGAAGGCAGAAAGCTAACTAACTGTACAACTCCTTTTGGTACCAGCTCACCATGCCTTCTCCTATGCCTGAATACCTGAATGTTCATTATATCTGTGAATCAGCTTCCAGACTGCTCTTCTTGTCCATGCACTGGGCACGTTCCATTCCTTCCTTCCAAGCCCTAGGGTAAGTATTCCAAAATTCTTTAAATGACTAAAATAGATTGCTTATTCTGAAATATATATTTTACACTGAGGAGTTTTAACAGTTTGAATTTCACATTTGAAAAAAATCACTATCTTTTTCTGTTTAAAAGTATTGTCAGCACATTTTTAAAAAAATTAAACACATTTGTTAGAATTGTTTTGTAGAGCTTTGTGATATTCTCTGACAAATAGTAAAATTGGTGAAAAAATGCCATTCGGGCTTATTAAAAAAGTATTCACAAGTTCAAGCCAGTTTTCTCAGCCTTGTTTGACAAAACTGTTGGAAAGGTATAAGGCGTGGTAGTGTCCCTTTTTATCATCTCAGTGGTTAAGACATTGACCCAGGATGTGGCAGACTTGGGTTCATTTCTCACAGCTGCCTGAAAGAATTTGAACCATTACGTCCACCTCCCAGCTTAGGTGAATGTCCTAAGCACCAGGCTAGAAATTATTCTGGTGCAGGGCACTCATTGCCTTCTTTGCATAGGCTGCTTTGCATAATTATTTTTTTTTTCTAGACCAGGGACTGGAATGCAAGGGTAGCTCACTCTTCATCACTCAGTTGAAGAGTCATTTTTTGTATCTTGCCATGTTTCTTAATACATACATGATTGTATACAAAGAATAACAACTTCAGCAGAAGAGTTTGAGGAGTACCCCTCTGAGAATACTTTCTAGCTTGGAAGTCCTGATGTTTTTCTGGGAGATGAAAGACCCAAGTTGAAATCGCCTCCTGCCTATTTCAGGAAAGGGATTTGAACCCACATAACACCCCCATATCCCCCCCCCAATTAAATTCAGTCCAAAAAAATAAATGTAGTCAATCCAAACCAAAACAATCAGTTCTTCATACCACCCTACTAGTTGTATTCTGCAAGTGAAAAAGTGAAGATCTGCTTCAAAATTATGCTGTGTCACTTCCAAAAATGAAAATCTATGTTTGACTGTTGGCAGGGAACTAACCTTGTATATTTATAATATCACTTTTTTGATTAGTGAATTTCTGGCAAGTCATGACTTCCTGTTGTTCTTGAATTGTATGCGGTGAGATTGCACTCAGCCTGCATTCACAATGAGGATGCTTATCCAAATTTATCAAAGAAAGCTAGACAGTGGGGTTCGCTGTATTTCTGGGACGCATATTGTTCTGTTTTTGGAAATCATTTAGTGGGACTACTACTACTACTACAATTATTTGCCTATTACAGAAGATGTGAGATGGGTTAGCAAGGTTTAGCAAGCATTGAAGGGGGGATTGTTGTTTGTTTGTTTTTTAAGAGGATGGGAGTTGTGAGAACTAAATTGCATCTGCTCACTAAAAACAGTTGACATGCTCGATAAAGTTTCCACTGTCACCAATAGAATATATTTCTTAAATTTCTTATTTTTCCTATATTTTAATCCCCTTTCATATGGGGGAACATACTTAGTTTCTAAATAGAAGGAACCGTTTCTCTGGAATTTTCCCAGATATTAGAGCAACTGTGGTATTAGAGCACCCATGATTAAAATGAAATGTACTTTTGCCAGACATAATTCATGCTGGTCTCTGCTCTTGTGTATATAATGTCTTTGATAAATTCTGTGTGATTGTCTTGATTGGTGTTTTTGTTTCCTCTTTGTGACTAAATCACATAATGAAGCACTTGGTGAGAGAATGGAAAGGCAATAGGTAATATTGCAAGTAGCCTCACATACCTGCTCATATCCATCTGAGCACTAGGAGGAAGATGTTTTGCGACTCTAAATGTTAGAGGCATCTGTACTGTTAAAATAATTTATGTTTCTATGGTAATAAGGAGCATTGGTATTAAGGAGCGTTGCTTTTGAATTGTCAATTAGCTGTAAGGACAGATGATTTGTAATTGTCATGTGTGTTTGCTCAAGTGTTGGAATAAAGGTGATTCTACAGAATATAATCATAAAGAAAGATACATTTCATGTAGCAAACCTTCCATTTTGAAGGGGAAAGAAAAAAGTAAATATTTCCCTTCCCAACAAAGAAAAGCCCTGAAATGCAATAAAATGAAATAATATAAAAGATAAAGAAATGGAATAAAGTCTAAAAGTGATGATTTTTACATAGCACTCTTCATCCAGCAGGATTTCAAAGCAGTTTACACATTAATACAGTAAATTAAAAGGGTTTATAATAAAAACAGTGCAAAAATAGTATCAAAGGATAGCATGCTTAAAAGCTATCTAAAGCATAGAAACTGAATCTTTGCAAAAGAGTTGACAGGAAACAAACATAAAACTTGTCATTTAATTATTCAGCAATAACCCTCTATTCAAATGTGTTTGGATGCTTTGGTGAGGAAAGGATATATATATTAGATAGACAAATACAAGTATTCCCTTCTTTTTTTATCAAGGAACTTTCCTTCTCCCCTCCCTCCACCCCCCCGTCAGGGTTGGAGGCTCATAGCTATGTTGAGTTGCACTTTTTCTCCTGAAGGATTTGACAGTATTTTTTTTTAAGGCAGGTCATCACAATATCTTTAATACATCTTTATTTTGAGCATCATTTTTGTACTGTAACTGAAAAATGTTTTAGGAGGGGGACTTGTGTCTTAATTGACACCATATTTCATTTTCTATTTTTCATGTTAAGCAACAATAATCAAAATGCAGAAAAATTCCTGGTGGCTACTTGGTTGGGAGGAGCTGATGGTCCAGAACAAGGCCAAAGATCATTTGTTACTGAGGAAGACAGACAACATATCCAGCCTGTTTTCCCATTCAGAGCAGCACCATCTTCAGCATGTTTGCTTTTTCTGCCTTCCTGTCCTCCACCCCCACCTCTCCCCAGCAGCAATACCCCTAAATTCCATTGCGACTCTCCAGCTATGAGTTTTAAGGAGCTTGGTTTGGACTCCTTACCCAAATCAAGCCTTGCTTATTGTTTTCGTGTTGTGGGTTGGTTAATATAATATTACTGGTCCAGATTCTCTCTGGCATCAGGAGAGGTTGGAAGTAGAGCCTTCATCAAGTTGGTTACAGCTTTGCGTGCCTTGCAAGTTCCCTCTGTTGATTTAATTGAAGTCAGTTTAAAAACTCCTTAACTGATGTGTTCTAGAGAGCTACAATGCTACAGAAGCAGATATTAACTAAAGAGTGGCACTGTGTACCTTGTCTATGCCACCTGTGTTGGTACGTGGGTGGTAGGAGGGGGCTTCAGGGAAATGCAAGAGGTATAGGAGTCTCTTCCAGCCATATGACCACTGAAAGGTTATAGTCTGAAGCACAGTGGATCAAACCAGATGATTTGGCCTAGTAAGCCTATATCCAGTATAGGGTAGTTCTGCATTAAGTAATTATTCATGCATGCTTGTAAATATAAATTATAATTGTTGCAGGGGGGTAGAATTTTATTAACCTTCATGCAAAGGTTGTGTCCATCAAGTTTTTGAAACCGCAGGCTTAGCTTTAAAATATTTCAGATCGTAAGAGGGTTTTTTTTCCTTTGCCAGTATTTGTCTTTGGCCAGAATTTTGAAATGTGGGCACCTGAAACTGGCACCTCAATGCAGTACTTTTTTTTCTTTCAGATGTGCTGTGCTTTCATTAATGGCAGTTAGTTGTAGATGTTTAGCACTGCAGACAACCAGGTTACTTTTATTGAGCTGTGTGAATATAGATTTAGATACCTAATTTTAGACCTATACTTTTTTTTTTGGGCATAACAGATTTAGTTTAGGGCTTACCAGCCAAAAATGGATTTCTCTGCATAATGTATTTTCCAAATTTCAAAATGGTGACTTAACAAGGAAGGGATATGAAGAATGCCAGTAAGAAGGCCAGTGACTTGATTTCACTGTTGAATTTTTGCTATGTTTACTTTTCCTTTTAAAAAAAAAAAATTCAACCAGCTTTCAGGTGAAAAACAAAAATAAAATATAGCCTTCAACTGGTTATAGGCTGCCTGCAATATAGGAACCATTTGAACTTTTGCTACTGTATGTAAATATGTTAAAACAAATGTAAATCCTAAGTAAACTAACATGATGGAACCTGCATCCAGTGATGACTATCAGCTTGCTTACATTAGAGATGTATCTATTTTTTAATTCCCTTTTAAAAAATTATCAACTTTTACACAAATGGCTCTTAACACAAAGCTTAGAATTTCAATTCTACAGGGGTGTAGGTTGTCGAAGGGTTTTTGAACCCGAAAGCTTGCTTAATAATTGTTTTCTAACTATTTAAGTTGGTCTAATAAAAGATATCAGATTCACCCAAAGAACCTTGTCTGCGAATTTCAATTCTAGCAGTTAAAAAAATGTTTGATCTGGCTCTTGTTTTGCTGGAAGTGGTTGTACTAGATGGCTGAACTAGATGAATAATTACAATTTTTATACTGTTCTCTCAATACATGTGAAGCACTCTGTAAATGCCAGTGACAATTCCATTAACTAAAAAATATTTTGTTCCTTTAAATAGGCAAGATAACAGCATATCGTTAGTAAAAGCCTGCTGGAATGAACTTTTTACTCTTGGTCTTGCACAGTGTTCACAAGTGATGAATGTGGCAACTATATTAACTGCATTTGTTAATCACCTTCATAGTAGTTTACAGCAAGGTAAGATGCATTAAGTGTTTCAGATGCATTAAGCATTTAATTGACTACTTGTCTATGAATTTACACACCATTGCAAGTATAATATAAGGTCCATTTTAAAAAATAGTAAATTTTAGCAAACCTGCAGAAGTTAGTCACATTACTAGTTTTATTTTGTTGTGTTTCTTCCATTTCCTCCCCTTCTACCTCCAGCAAAAATGTACATAAAATAATGTTCTCCCTTGCTAAAAATAGAAACTTCAATAAGATATACACTAACCATTCTCAAGGAACTAGCCAATTGCCCATCAAGAATGACGGGGGAAAGAGGGGGTTGGGATGGAGTGCTGCCACATAATGCCCCATGCTGCTGCTGTTCTGTCTTTTCTCACTTTTGCCTTTGTTGGTAGGGGGGAGCAAGGCAGGGGGGAGCAAGGCTGCCGCTGCCACACCAGCACCCCAGTTCAGGGCTGGCCTCCTCCCACTCCCCCTCACCATTTCAGAACCAGACTGCTTTTCCCCACCGTGCCCCCTCTCCCCATCCCAGCTGGCTTTTGTTTAGTTCCGGTGCCGGCGTGGTTTGCAGGGAGCAGGGTGGGAGAGCCGAGGCCAGCTGGTCCTCCATGTCGCTTGCAGGGAGCGGAGTTTGGGAGCCGAGGCCAGCACTGCTGGCCTCAGCTCCCCCACCCTCTGTCCGGACCTCAGTGTAGCTTTGGAGTCACGGTGGCGCTCTCCCACACTTGGAGCACTCTAATTGGCTTTTTCTGTCAGCTAATCAGAGTGTGAATAAAGTGTTATGGACAGACAGACTTAGGCTTTTATAGTATTAGAATACTTGTGCTGTGAAGATTGGCCTGTGGCTTCCATTCAGTCATTAGTCTCCTTTTAAGTTATGTCTTACTGTTCCTCCAGTGCCTGTCTGTATTCTTTACCCATTGTTTCATTCTTGGTGCGCACCCATGCAATATTCGTATCTCTTTGCTAGCATTGTTTATGGAGGACATATATGCTTTTAGGTGACCTTGTACTGTGCCTCTGGGACATAAAAAGCAGCAACTGTCTGCCCCTTGGTTCCTCTTCACCTCTCCTGGCTGTGAAATAATGCAACTTAGAGTTCACATCTTGATGCACTTTCCTTGTTAATGTACTTGCTTCTGGTATATATTATTGCTGAATTAGATTAGAGTTTGTTAAATACCAATTTAGTTGCCCTTTGGCCTATTCATTTAACAGGTTCTGGTCTTTTTCACTTCACTGTGTTATATTTTTTATAGATACACTTCCCAAAGACTTGTTAACTTCAAACCTCTGGGATTCAATTACTGCCTCTCACCTAAAAATGACAGGCATGCTAGGAACCTATTTTGTTTAGGGGTGTCCCATACCATGGGTAAATTATCATTAAAAAGTATTTTAGAAGCCAAGGAAGATGTTTGCAGACATTTTTATTGGATGAGACCTGCTTTCCAGAAGTGCTGCAGGATGCACAGACTTCTCTCTTGTCCAAAGCTCCAGCTTCTGTCTGTAGTAGGACAGTTTTATGAGGGGGGGGGGAGAAACATTACTGCTTTGCAAAAGAGAAGTTGATCTTGCATAGAAGAGTTCACTAGGAAAAAAACGTCTTTCTTCATTACTTCCATTCTAACGAGGCCTTATGGCCCAATACAGATGACTTAGGATCTTGGAGGGGGCATGGAACTGCATTGGCATGCTAAGCTGAATGGGGACTGGCTGGTTCCTTGTTATGGACAGCGCTTAAATTACATTTCCAAGGTTTTGTGTGGTCACTTTCAGGATTGTTATACTTAGTTCTGACACAGATTATGAGGCTTCCTTTGATAGCAAGTGTATTCTTGCCAGCTGCCTTGGCACAGTGAACTCCAGTGTTCTCCAGCTGAGCTCTGAGATTTGTGACACTATATTCTTTGATACCAGGAGACTTGCAAGTTTGGAGGAGCTTGAATCTCCTTTTGTTGTCATCTATTGCAAAAACTCCATCATTTGTTACTGGGACCTGCAGTATTTTTTTTTTTTTTATTATTACTACACAAACCCCTGAATCTGACTGTTCCCATATTCCCTGTGCAGGGAGATAATGCAAGATTATCAGCATAGTTCTTTGTATTGGTATCCAACTCTGGGGTCTTCAGTCTCTTACTCTGTAATACCACATCATGGTCTTTATGAAGTCCGTGTATGGGGTCCATGCAGACCAGTTTGCCATGTCTTTTTTACTGCCTCTGATACAGTTCTACAACATGGTCCTTCTGAGTTGATTTGCAGGAGTTTGCTTATTCTAAGAAAGAACTTAATCAAACTGCAGACATAGCTTAACCTATAGTCTTATCACCTTCTTCCCCAAATGGAACTGTAGTCTCCTTTATGCCAAGTTTCAAGGTTTCTATAGAAAAGGTGCTGGAGTCTCAGCATATTCCAGGATGGACAAGGCAGATTGGTCAGCAGGCATCTTTCAGCGCTGCCAGTTAGTGACATTTTGATGGATTCTACTAGAAGGTATGGCAAACACCTGTGACTGTTGCCTGTACATCAAAAAAGGAAAGAATTATGCCCAGTCTGTAGGAGTAGATTTTTTTTAATACATACCTAATGCCAGGATCATTTTCATGATTTTGTGTCCTTTATCAAAATGAAACAAGACAGAACAACACCAAAAAATATGAACCAATGGTTCTTGATTGATTTCACTATAAAAACCATTTTCCAGCAAGCTTGTTCAGTTCAACATTTCTAATTGCTGACTCATTATTATGTTCTGGACTCTGATAAGCTATCTGTGTTTGTTGAAATACACCTTTGCTTTATCAGCAGAAATGTGTCCTCTACTAACAGGTATAAGCCTCCTGTTATTGAAATGTCAGATTTTATAACATTACTTTGCTAAAAAAATTATTAGTAGGACTGAATTTACTTGTGAGCTCTACTTCGCATCGCAGTCTTTAGTTGCATACTTTGCCCTGTCTTGTTCCTTATTGACATTCTACTTTAATGGATTTTTAGACATACAGAAAGTTATTAAAGTTTTATTTTGTAATTTGGGGATCATATAGTTTTAACTATGACAAGCTATTGTGATATTAAACTCTTAAATTTCTTCAGAGGATCCCCCATAATCCTGCTAATAGTAGTAATTTCATATTTCTCTAAATGTGGAAAAATTCTCCAGTTCAGATTTTGAGAATTTTGCATCTTGCCACCAGGCAAGTTGGTTGGAATTCCCTGGGGACTGAATTCCCACTTTCAAGAAAATTATTGTGTGTCCTGTCATTTAAGTGAACATTTTAGTGCCTCTGATCTGATGATTTGCCTAAGACAGGTATGGAGTAAGAATCCTTTATTCAGATTCTGGTTTGAGAATATTCATAATGCTTGTATGGGTTTGCTGCTTCTAGTAGCTCTGATAAACTGAATGAGTTTGGCACCACCCTGATTCTTAGAGAGTGCAGGTACAGCGCATTTGTGGAATTCCTTTTACTGGTAAATAAGCTTCTCCATGCACACACTTTTGATGGTTGTATCAGGCTCCAGTCCACCTCTCATTACGGGTACGTTAATAACATGAACAAACTAATCATAAAGCATAGCAATTTTCAACTGGTCTGTAATCATTTAGAGCTGTGGGTTTTTTTTTTTCTTTCAGAAGAGGCATGTGTTTCCAAATGAATGAATCAGGAATACATTTATGCAAAAAAAAGAGAAAAAATCCAAAAACAAACCTCCATTCTGCATCTATTTCTTGTATTAATCTAGATAAGTTGTCATCCGACAGAGGAAAGCTAGTGATGGAGCATATCTTTAAACTGCAGGAGTTCTGTAACAGCATGGTTAAGCTTTGCCTAGATGGATATGAATACGCTTATCTGAAAGCAATCGTCCTCTTCAGTCCTGGTATGTAATTATTTTAAATGTACTTTTGCTGTAACAGTGTCTGGAAAAACGTCTAGAGCAGCGGTTTCCAACCTAAATGAGGGTTGCGGGGGCAATCCTAGCAGCACTGCACAGAAAAGATGAGCTGCACCATGTGCTGAAAGCTCCCCTGCCCCTGGGCCGCTGCTGCCACCACCACACTCTGCTCCCAGCACTGGGGTGCGGGGAAAAAAAAGGTTGGGAACCACTGGTTTAGAGTCTGGAAAATACAGCAACAAGCAGTAAATACTCAGATGTATTTACTGTTTGTTGCTGTATTTTTCAGACTCTAGGTTGGAAGGTGATTTTTAAGTGTTTAGCTACTCTGGTTTCAAATGTAAATGTCAGTCTGTCAGTCTCTCAGTTTTAGGTCATTTACAGCAGGGATGTCGGATATGGCTCACAGGCCAGATCTGGCTACAAAGCCCTATCTTCCAGCCCACTGTGTCACCTATGGGTCTTGCACTGGACCCACATGCTTCTTTTGGTGCACACCTGACCAACCTAGCACACTGCACACCATACACAGACCCATATGCTTCACACACTGCATGGTGCTTGTGGGGCCAGGACTAGTGCATGTGCTTCATTTGGCATATAGTGCTTGGTCCAGCGCAGAGAACACAGGGCTGTTCTGGGATGTTTGTGGCACATGCACTGGACCAACCCAGTGCACTATGTGTGGGGCAGTCTATGGGGCCAGTCCAGCCCACAGAGCAGTCCCATGCCACTTATCTGACCTGTGGACCATCCCTGTGCCATTCATCCAGCCTGCTAGGTCTGATAAGTTTAACACCCCTGATTTACAGAAGTTTTTAACCATCTCCCTCACAATTGCTGTAGCACCAGTGCAGTTCAGTCATTGCCATCAATGGAAAAAGCGAAAATGTAGATTAACCCCTACTGTGTTATTATATTGTGCTGTCTGATCTGTCTGTTGGGGGGAGATGTGGCAGAAGAGAAGACTTGGGGGACAATTCAGACATCCAGGAGCTGAAATCAGATGAGCAGGTGAAATGTTGGGGTTGGACTGGTTGAGAAAGCAAACTAAGATGACAAACTTTGGTGCGGGGAAAACTGGGATGGGATTGGGGGTGGCAGACGAGCCAAAGAGCATGTTCAAAAGTAAGTCAAGCACTGAAAGGTTAGCCAATGCTAGCATTACAGTTGCTTGTACAACCTTAATTGAACTACTTTGTACATATGCATCATTATTATGTCTTTGTATTATCATAAAATGTAGGAGCCCTAAGTAGGGCCCCATTGTGCTAGGCTCTGTAAAACAGCATAATTATTGCTGCCTTTAGAAACACTTCTGAGGCAAAATGAAGAGACTACAGCTTTAATTTCTAACTGTGACAAAGTAAAAAGATGTTCTAAAAGATACAGAAAAAATATACCTGTCCCTAGTAGTTATTGTTTCTTTGTATAGAGTGAATGTGCTGTGGGGATGAATCAGGGTTCTGTAATGATTCTTGTATCTATAGGGACCCTGCCTCATCTGATTCAGAAGTTGGAAGGTAGGTAACGAGCAGGGGTAGCAGGCCAAAAGTGTTTTAGTTACCTTCAGCCTCTGCCTTTACATTTTTCATGACAGTATCAAACCAGAGTCCCACCTCATGAGTCACATACCTAATTACAGATGTTTCTCGGGTAACAGATGGAAATTATGGGGAACACACAATTTCCTCACAACCAGCCTTCTGTATAGACCACAATATGAGCACTCTGCCTCTTCATATTTCCTTAGTCTGCCACATATGAAACAGTGAATGAACCTCTTCTTTCTCTTTAGTCTTAAGCTAGTTATAAGTAGCTGAATTATTAGAGTCAAATTTAGTGGAAGTTTTATGTTCTACTTTTCATTATTAATCTATATTATGTCACTTTTGGCCTTGCATATAATGGTAGATCTATCTAAAACATGGGTGCTCAGTGTCCAACCCATGGGCCATGCCTGCAAAGCCATGGCATGTGGCCTGCAGGGCTCCCCACAGGTCATAAATTTGGGAGCAAGGATGCAGTGGCAATACCACCACCCTCCCCAACCCCCTTTCAAATTCTAATCCCCCTCTCCACCAAGTGCTGCAGGACAGGGTCCGAGCCAAGCCATTCCCCCTTCCTCTATGCTGGGGTGGGTTGTGGCCTGGCCACCCCCTATTCTCCCCTCTCTACAGAGCCAGGTTGGGCCCAGGCCACACCCCCTTTCCACTCCACCAGTGAGTCTGGGCCACACCCCCTGTCCTCTCCCCCTTCCTCCCTGTGTGGCCAGATGGGGTCCTGCCTTGCCCACCCTGGGCACCAGATTGGGACCACCAGCTGGATCTGGCCCGCGGACAGACCGGGCACTGCCCAACCAGCTCACCAGGCAAACAGGTTGGGCACCACTGGTCTAAAAGAAGGACACTTATGGGCTGTTTGTTTTGCCCCACAAAGTTCTCTGCTTCAGGGAAGTATGAACAGGTCCCAATAGGCAGCTCCAGAAAATGTTGCCATCAGTGATTTTTATAGGGCAAGAACCTGAGAGATCTTTACCTAATGTCTTCCCAGGTGAGGTAATATGCCAATAAAGGTTGCCTTAGTGTTGAGGCCTGTGCCAGAATCTTGGGCTCGTGAAGGAGGTAAGCCCCATTTAAAGAGAATGACCAGACTTGCATGAGCATTATAAAAAGCTGCACTGAGAAATAAAAGAGGGATCTCTTTTGCTCATGACATAGTTTGTCATGTGCAAAAGTTTTCAGTGGTGCAATTGGATACAACAGGGGTGCCAAAGATATGGCCCACGGGATGGATCCAGCCTGCGGAGTGCCATCATCTGGTCCCCAGTGCTGCCTCTGGGTCTCAGAGTTGACCCACATACAGCAAATGGCACATGTCAGACTGGCCCTGCACACAGTGCTCACTCTGGCCAGCCTAGGACCCATGCTGCATGTAGTGCCCAACCTGGGCAGGCCAGGACGGGGGCTGTGTGGAGCGCAGGTCCTGAACCAGCTGGAGTGGACACTGCTGCGCATGTCCGAGATGGGCCCTGCTCAGGCATTGCATGCAGCACAGTCTATGTGTGGGGACTGCCTGTGCTAGGTCCAGCATAGGGGAGGGTCCATGGGCCTGGCCCAGGCCATGGACCAGCCCTGTGCAACTCATCTGGCTCACAAGGCCAGATGTGATTGACATCCCTGGGGAACACGGTTCCTGTCAGTTCCAGACTTGACGCTGTAAGTTTCTCGAAACTGAGAAAAGTGGTTTCTTTCCCATTCTGCTACAGCTCCCCTTCAAGGGAAACTTTGGTTTCAGGCACAGGAAGACTTTTGGAGCTTTGGTTGTCAGTGTAGACATTGCCAAAATTTAAGTTTTATCTAGCCTTTTTTTCTCTACCTGTACTTGGTTGCTTGGGCTATTGGTCCTGTGGCTTTACTCCCTACTTACACAGGCAGGAGAGAAGACCCGGAATGATTCCTCTACTCTGGACTCTTGTTGGTGTTTTCAGTTGTGACAGGCCATTTATTAAGGTAGCTAAGTCCTGTAGCTCATAAATGGGGTGACTCTCTGCTATTCAAAGCCTGGTTATCTTGCCTACCTCTGCTTCTAGATGTTTGGGGTGGGGTTAGCACCCCCCCCATGAAAAGCTATAGGGATAAAAGGACATATTGGAAATAAGAGTCATTCAGGTAGTGCCAGAATCTTACAATAGTGGGAGGAAAGGACTTCACTTTGTTCTTGATCTCTTAAGTTGAATTTTGCCTTTGTTCTGTTCTTAACCCTTAAGACTGGTTTGGTTTTTTAACCTGTTAATTTTCTTACCTCCACATTTCCAAAAGTGCAAGCAGTGCCAGTACCTGATATGCAGCAGCCATTAGTTAGATGAGGTAATAGCCTGAAAGCCAACAGCTGTTGACTCAGAGGAGTTCAGTTTACAGTGGGGGAATAGATCATGCCATGCAGCAGATTTGATGCTTTTTCAGATTTCTGGTCTCTCCTTAAATAGTCCATTTGCCTATCCTTATTTGGCTCAGCTTTCTCCAGCGGAGGAACCAAATGATGTAAGCATACCCCAAATCCCTTGATCCAGCAGTGTGAGTGCTAGGGTTTACGATAGGATGTTTTCTCCTGTATGAAGAGATCAAGCCCTGTTCTATTGGAGGCTAGAAAACATTTTACTAGGAAGTTTTACCACTTAATGGAACAGAGGTTTTTTAAGTTTCTTAAAGTTTAAATGCTTTTTTTCCAGTTACTTGTGTTGTCAGATGTATCTCTGGAAAAGCTCTTCTGCATGGAAAAAACTGAATCCATCATGTATTAGCTGAGGCTTCTGTGTCTTAATATTTTGAAGCTTGTTTACCTACTGACGTGTTCTGTTCAGTGGCAATGTATATGTGTCTCATGCAAAGTGTATCAGAGGGCTTGGAAACATTTAAGAATTTCCTGAAAGCTTTTCTTGATATTTTGAATGCTACAGCAAGGGCTTTGGCCAGAGTTGTCAAGTTCAGGTGTGTCGAGCCCCAGCAGATGCAAATGAATTCATTTAATTCCTTTACAAGTAGCTCATAGAGTTCAAAATAATGCATTAGTGTGCTCAGAAATAACTGCTCCTACACAACTACACTGACATACTTCACTTTCAGGCCATGCTCATACAGTTTCTGAAGTTAAGGAATTACTAAACAGAACAGGATATTTAAGTCATTAGTCTGTGATGTGTTGGGTTTGAAAGAATTGCATATACCACCTTGTTGCTTAAAAAAGTTCTGTGGCTATATGGTAGACCAGTTGTAAGGTTATGCAGGCAATATATTTGGAGAATGAGAATTGCTATTGATGACTTTTTTTCTGATATGATTCAGCTGGTTATTTATGACCCCATTCCTTCAGGTCATCTACTTTATAGAATCATGGAAAGTAAGAGTTGGAAGGGACCTCAGGAAGTCATCTAGTCCAAACCCCTGCCCAGAGCAGGACCAGCCCCAACTAGATCATCCTAGCCAATGTTTTGTCTAGCCAGACTTGAAAACCTCCAAGGATGCAGATTCCACAACCTCTCTGGGTAACCTGTTCCAGTGCTTTACTACCTTCCAGTGAGAAAATTCTTCCTAATATCTAACCTAAACTTCCCTTGCTGCAACTTGAGACTGTTGCTTCTTGTCCTGTCGTTGTGTGCTACCACTGAGAACCGGCTAGCTGCATCCTCTTTTTCAAACCCCACTTCAGGCTGCTATTAAGTCTTCTCTTCTCTCTCCCCCCCCCCCCCCCCAATCTTCTCTCCCTAGATTAAATAAGCCCAGTCTTTCCTCATAAGTCATGTCCCCCAGCCTCCTCACCATTTTTGTTGTCCTCCGCTGGACTTTCTCCAATATCTCCACATGCCCACATGTAGTGAAGGGCCTAGAACTGAACATAGTACTCCAGATGTGGCCTCACCAATTCTGAATAGAAGGGAATAATCACTTCCCTTGACATGCTGGGAACCCTCCTACCAATGCAGCCCAGTATGCCGTTAGCCTTCTTGGCAGCTACCCCAGCCAGTCAGCCCACAGCTTGTACTGGTGCATGGGATTGTTCCATCCTAAGCGCAAGGACTTTGCACTTGTCCTTGTTGACAAGGTTCCCTCTAAGCTGTGCGCATGTGCAGCAGCACACAAGAAAAAGTCTTGCCACGCACTGTTTAATGCTGCGCACCCACCCCAACCCGGCTACAGGCTGCTGGAGAAGTGTGGAGGGGCAGGCACACTGAGATACCCATGCACTCCCAATCAGGATCGCTGGCTTGAAGGTGCCTGATCTTTTGGGGGGGAGTTAGGGGTGATAGTTATGGGTTTCTGATAGTCCCGGTGGGGAGCTGTGAACCCTCTTGGCAGGGTTTGGTCTGGGGGACTGCCTGGCTGCTCCAGATGGAGCAAGACAGGAGCCCAGGCAGCCTGTGCTGAGCAGAATGTGATGGTGGAGGCACAGCCACGTGCAGCTGGTCCCGAGGAGGTAGGAGGCAGCTCTCCAGGGACAGAGTTGTGTTTTAAAAGGCTCACATGAGCACAGCCTCAGAAGTGTGCCGAGCCCACTGGCTGACCTGCCAGGTCCTGTAACATTCATCATTGGCTCCAGGCTCTCTCTGGGAGGGACGGGGAGGGGAAAGGGTGGATCTTTGCAGCCGCTTTCTCTCCAGTGCTGTGCTAGAAAGAGAGAAACCTGCCTGAGCATGGGCAGAAGCCATACAAAAGGTTCCCCGGCTTCCCAGGCTGCTGCATATTTTCTTCCTCCTCCCTGTGCCTGATCCTGGGAGCTCAGGAAAGCAGCTGCAAGATGACTGAAAGGCAGCAGTGGTGCATGCAGCAAGGCTCCTGAGCTGTAAATTCCATCCCTTAGGAGGAGAAGTCCAGTAGCCGGCTTCCTAGACAGCCTTTCTTCCAGGACGTGCCTACCACTGGGACCTCCAACAAACACAACAGGCATCAGTGTTCCCTCTAAGCAGCTCACAGACGAAAGCAGCATGCTCACGGACCACCAGACCATAGAGGGAACATTGCTTGTTGAACCTCATGAGATTCCTTTTGGCCCAATCCTCTAATTTGCCGAGGCTACTCTGAATCCTAGGCCTCCCTTCCAGCATATCTACTACTCCCCCCAGCTCGGTGTCATCTGCAAACATGCTGAGGCCATCTTCCATCTCTATGCCATCTTCCAGGTCATTGATGAAGACATTGAACAAAACTGACCCCTGGGGCACTCCACTTGATACTGGCTGCCAACTAGACAGAGAGCCATTGATTACTAATCTCTGAGCCCGATGCTCCAGCCAGTTTTCTATCCACCTTACAGTGCATTCATCCAGCCCATACTTCCTTAGCTTGCCTGCAAGAATGCTGTGGGAGACAATATCAAAAACCTTGCTAAAATCAAGGTGTACACCACATCTACTGGCTTCCCTGCATCTACAGATCCAGTCATCCTTGTCATAGGAGGCAATCAGGTTGGTTAGGCATGAATTGACCCTGGTGAATACATGCTGACTGGTCCTAAACACCTTGTTCTCCTCTAAGTGCTTAGAAGTGTATTCCTTGAGGATCTGCTCCATGATTTTTTCCAGGGACTGAGGTGAGGCTAACTGGTCTGTAGTTCCCTGGATCCTCCTTCCCCTCCTTCCCTTTCTTAAATATGGGCACTATGTTTTCCCTTTTCCAAACATCTTGGACCTCTCCTGATTGCCATGAGTTTTCAAAGATGATGACCAATGGCTCTGCAATCACATCAGCCAACTCCCTCAGCACCCTCAGGTGCATCCCATCCAGTCCCGTGGACTTGTACATGTCCAGCTTTTCCAAGTAGTCCCTAACCTGTCCTTTCAGCACTGAGGGCTGCTCCCCCTCCTCCCCAAACTGTGCTGCCTGGTGCAGTAGTCTGGGAGCTGATCTTGCCTGTGAAGACTGAGGCAAAAAAGGCATTGAGCACTTCAGCCTTTTTTCTGCATCCTCTGTCACAAGGTTGCCTCCCCCATTCTCCCAATTATGATTTTTTCTCAATTAGAAACACGCATGATACCATGTGGGGATTATGACTAGAGGTACAATGTTCAAAGATACCAAAATCACATTTTCAAAAGAGATTTAGGCATTTAAGAACTTAAGGAGTCTTTGTTTCTAATAACACTTATATTCTGAAGTACCTAAGTTATACCTGGAATTGTAATTTATGCGCTTTCAAAAAATTTAGATCAGAATACTGATAAAGAAGTATCTGCTTTATATCATCAGCCAGAGTTACCCCACAGCTTTTTCAGCTTTTAAAATTATGTTTATTATAACCCTTTCACTTTTGACTTGGAATGCTTTAGCACTCAGCCTTCTAATGCACTGTCAGCCTGTCAGAATCAAGGCATAATCCAGTGCAACACAGAGACAGGAGACCTGATCAACTGTGGATGAGGGTGGCATAAACACTGTAGGTGTTGCATTTGCTGGAACTTTTGGGGCTGTCTGGTATATTTATCTGAGCACCTTGAATAAAATATACCAACTTCATCTGAAAAAAAGAAACCAAATAAGGGGAGAGGTCCAGCAATAGAATTTGGGGGGCGGGGGAAGATAAAAAGCAGAAGTTGCTAAAGAATCAATAGAGGATATTTGCCTCAGATAGTTTGAGTGGGTTTTGTAGGTATTTTTGCATCTTGCCCAGAGCAGGTATAACAAGGTAGACTGTTTTTCAGATCATCCAGGTCTAGAAAATGTAATACAGATTGAGAAGTTTCAAGAAAAGGCTTACATGGAGTTTCAGGATTATGTAACAAAAGCATATCCAGATGATACTTACAGGTATGTAAATTTGTGTAATCATCTGCTTGATTTATCCTTTTTGTTTTTGTTCTTCATAGCATCAATGACCCTGATTTGTAAAGTACTTCAGTTTTAAGGAATCAGGGGGTAGTTAGATATCCAAAGACAGGCAGAAGGCAGGCCAGGGTCGCACTTTAGGCCCCTGGTACATGTTACATTTAACTTGTTAATTGTGTCTTCAATAGTAACTCTGGCTGCACATTGATTCAGTTAATGGTGTGATAAAACAGGGAATAAGCCATGAAGTTATTACACAAAATCTATGTAAGATCTTTGTGGCTGGTTCCCATCATACCTTAAATTGAATGTGTAGCCAGGCTGATCAGCTGATTGGGGCTCCCAGCTTGGGGAACATATCAGAGTAAAGAACTCTGGTGCACTCTCAATGCTAGGAGTGAGGATTGCTGCTCTCAGCCTCAAGGACATAACAGAGCCCTTGGCTCCAGTGCACCCCAAAAACAGAGTAGCAGTCATATGATGGGCACTCAGCTTTAGAGGTGCATTGGAGCCTTGACTCTGCTCTTGAGGCTGGGAGTGTCAGTCAGCTGACTGGCTTGCTACTTGATGGTGTAAGAGGAGCCCAGGATCATGAATCTGCTCCCTCTGCACCAGTATTATGGCACAATTGGGATCTGATCTCCAGCCCTGCAACTGGTCCTCCTGCCATACACATGTAGCATGACAGGAGGCACAGTTGTTGCGATCATAGATCAGATCCCATTGGCTAGGGACAGACATTACACATTAATTGGTTTAAGTGATCAGAAACTGGTTTAAATCTGTAACAGAACAGATGTTCAGTGCACATAGACCAGTTTGGCTGAAACCGGTTTGATATAAACCTGGTTGAATGTAGTACCAGATTTAACTGATTTGGCTCAAACCAGTTCATGCAATGTCTGTCCCAGACCCCTTGCTGGTTTAAGATAAAGTAGAGTCTCCCGGCATCCCCACATGCTCTCTGTGCTGGGCAGGGCTCTTTGCTCAAGGGCAGGGCTGGCCCCTCCCCTCTGCTCCCTGGCTGCAGCTCCCCCCACTCCTCCACAGTCCTTGTTGAGGAATTTCCCCCTTCCCCTCTGCCTTGCTGAGAGGTGTCTGTGTATTAGCTAGCAGACCATATGTTGGTTACATCTGTGCTGAATCAACAGGCAGAATCAACAAGTAGCTGGTAATGTCCCTCTGTTTTCTTAACTGGGTGATAAACACTGTTATCAATTCTCTGCTGAGCTAATGGAGCTCCTCAGCCATGCTGTGGAAGAAAGGGAGGGCTGCTCTAGCACCCCCTGGCTTCTAGCCTGAGCCACTGCAGGCATGTGCCTGCATTTCTGGGATGTCTGTCTGGTTACAAACCTGATTTACCCTAGCCAGGTTAGACTAACCTGCAGAAATTGAATCAGTTCAGGCTCAGGCTTTTTGAATGACTGTCCCTAGCCATTGTGCCTTTAAGTGAAGGCCAAGGGCCTAACTGGTTCAGAGGGGCATGAGCTTTTATAGGCAGCAACCTACGAAACAACCCTTGTCAGATGCTAGGAATGGAAGAATCAGTTCAATGCACATTGACAAACCTTAATTTTTCCCTTACATGCTGCATGTATGTTACTTACTTCCACAAATTTAGAAAAGTCTTGATGCATTTTCAATGTTAAAAGTGTTTATTTGTTGAAGTTTAAAACTGAACTGTAATTACTGGACTATTTGTAGGCTGGGTTCCCCTCTAGTTTACTTTTGTGTGCTACAGACCCTAACGTGCAATCTATATATGGTGAAATGCCTAATACCTTTGGACTGTCACAGTGCAATATGATCAGAGTTGAAGTGATCACACTGATATGAGCACAGTGAAATAAAACTGTATCTTCCATGTTTCCACAAGCTAATATTTTATCTCCCTGAAACTGACCTTTTTATTGAACTTTTACCAACAGCATAACCCAGCAAGTTTTGTTTCCTTTCTTGCTGATAACACAACAAGCTAACATCAAAATGAAGCCCCTCTGCCTGTACAACTTGTGTAACCTTCTTCTGCCAAACATGTTTTTCAGGCTGTCTAGACTTCTTCTCAGACTGCCTGCACTGAGATTGATGAGTGCTGCCATCACAGAAGAATTGTTCTTTGCAGGATTAATTGGAAATGTTCAAATTGACAGCATCATCCCATATATTCTTAGAATGGAGACAGCAGACTACAACTCTCAAATAATTGGTCATGCTGTATAAAAGTGGAAACCAAGGATTGTATACCATGGCAGTCACAGGATATGCATACTCTGTCTCCAAGAGATGGCAAGAAGCCTTCCCATGCAACTTTAAAAGAAGGCTAAAATTTTTCCTTTTCAGCCCACTTGGGAAATGCAGTGGAGTGTCTTAAGGAATGTAGGACGGCTTCCTTTATGCATCTGGTTTTCAAGGACCTGTAAATTACTTAGCATCTAAAGAAAATCAAGAATTGCTCATCCTATTTTTGTAGATAGAGGAACCCAACATATTTGTTTATGAATTCCAAAACAAACAGAAAACTCCAGCCCCCTGAAGAAGAAACACAAAGCCTTGACTGAACTGAAATGTCACAACCTAGTCCAATGTTTTAAGTTAAATAAATGAACCTTCTTGGAATTTTGTTTTCAGTGTTTTGCTACTAGTCCATTCTCACTGACTGAATGAAACAGGCTGGTCAGAAATCTTGAAAAGGCCAAAGTATTTCTGTTGAAATGAATCCTTTTTAATAAAATTCTCTTTTTTAGCAACTTCGGGAAAAGCTGTTCTTGTTGAATGAAACTGTTGATATCATTAAAAGTACAGGGAAATCATAGAAAGCTCTCTGCTTTTTTAAACATTCTGTTTATACCTCGATACAGTTGGTTAAAGTGCACCTCCATTGCCAGCAATGAGATCCATATTGATGACTAGCGGTTTTCTGGATATCAGGGGGCTAATGCATTCTAATGTTGTATAGTGGTACGTAGCAGCTGGTTGTCTTATACTGTGGAAAACTAATGTAAGAATAAACTCTGTCCACGAGGTAGTTTATGATGTCAATTTCCAGTTGTGTTTTTCTAACTGAACACATTCACTACTGTTTGAGCGTAGTGCACAGACTGGCAGGCCATCACACTGCTGTTCATCCTGATCTGAAGCTTGGGTCCCAGAAATGCAGGTTTTGGTCTCTTCACTGTTTGCCTCTCCTAAGGTTTGCATAAATCCATAGGCAGATCCAGGATTTTGAAAAGGGAATCGTAACCAGTATAGCAGGGGTGACTGCATCTCCTACTTCCAGACCACCGCACAAGAGCAACAGCCAGGGACATTTTTTAAGTCCCCAAATTGTGTATCTCCACCCTACCATGCCCTACTCTCAGCAGCATCCCCCTTCCCTTTCATGCTCAGCAGCACCTCACCTCCCCTTCCATTCCCTCCACCCCACGCTTAGGCCTGTGGCTGTGCGAAGCGGGGTGCTACCTGCTGCTACAGCTATCCCAGCTGTTCCCGCCCTGCGTTAGCAGGGCTGCAGGAAAGCAGCTGCATGGCCTCAGACAGGGGAGTGGTGAGTGCATTCTTGCTCCATGCCCCAGCTGCCAGGCTGGCAGGGAACACCTGGGGGCCTCTGGAGATCCACCTGCCCCCAACTCGGCTGGGAACAACCTCAGTGGGAATAGGGAGAGGGGGGATGGGAAGGAAAGGGAGGTGACACTGAGCACAGGAAGAGAGGGGTGCTGGAAGGGAGAAAGATCCTTTCCTGCTTCAGGGACTTAAAGAATCCCTGGCTGCTGCTCCTGCAGTGTGGTTTGAAATTGGAGAGGGGGCGGATTGTTAGATGGCACCATGGCGTCCCCTCTAGATCTACCTCTGAATAAATAATTTCCAGTTCTTAGAATACAGATTCATGCTTCTGAAAAGGAGCTTTCAGACAATTGATTTGTTTAGTAAGATGGATAGTCCTAAACTGTTGAAACAGATCCAGGAATATAGGGATTGTTTAATTCTTGCATCAATGTTGTTCATTTATCTGCAGTTATTTTAACTTCTAGAAATCTGCAAGTTAAGATTGGAGGTTAGGTTTTAAATCTACTGCTGCTCAGATAAACGGACCACCTTCCAACTCAAGCCCTCTGCTTTTCTAAAAACCTGTTGACCAAAAATGACCAGATAATCTCTCGTTACTGCCAGTCTGATTTGTTTTCAGTTCCATTCTAGGGAATAGTTTTTCTGAGCCACTCTGATGTTGGAGAAAGACTAGCCATTTTCATTCTTGAATTGTACTGTCCGATAGCATCACTGCACCAATTACCAAAAATTAAAACGTGGAAAGTTGCTTTTCCATGAACGCTTAGAGGCATTTTTCTTAAAGTCTAGCTGGATAAGACTTTTCCCCCACCCTTCTTCTCTCCCAGTACATTAATTTATTTTCAGTGTTGAGTCTTCACAAATCTGACTGGCTTGTAGCCAGTCTAGATTTACCAAACTCTAGTGTTTGATTAGCCAATAAAGATGGCTCTTTTGCCAGTTGAGGGGTAGGATTATTTTGAACAGCTTTATAATTTTTGATTTACAGAGCAAGAAAAATGATTTTTAGTAAAAAAAAATAAATAAATATTTGAATGGAAAAATTAATAGTTTTATACATTTCAGAATCCCATCAATTAAAGGTGGGAGCACTGTTCTAAATAATGAACTGAATAGTTAAAAAAAAAACAAAAAACTTTTTCTTAAAAATGTATATTGGACATATCTACGTATAACTAGTCAGTGTATTTTTACTGAGGGTATTTACTCGTACAGCTTGTAGTTACATTTTCAGCTATTTCAGAAGAATTTTATTGCACTGTCAACTGCAACAACAAACCTGTCCTGTCACTACACTTGTTCTGTCTTTGATCTTGAGTGTCAGTGGAAGTCATTAGCTTGGTCATTTTGTTCCATTTATACAACTTAACTGGTAGTTCAGTTTTAATGTAAGCATTGGAATGTCACAGTAATTGTCTTGTTGTTGTATAAAAGCTACTGTAAATGTCCTGAAACTTGTCTAAGATTGTAAATTCTATTTTGGCTGTATTTTTTAAAATAAATTGTAACTTTTTATTATAGACTACATAACCCATCAGTTTGTTAGTTTTTAATGAAAACGGACATTGATCAGAGCAGTGCATTCAATTGTAGAGGGGCTGTCCAATGACATTCACACTCTTATTAGGTGGTGTAATATTGTCATTTACAATACTAGTATTTTAACTGTTGCTGGTATCTCACCGTTACCCCTCAGTTTCATAACCTTTCTTTTCTAATTAACCTTTGGCTTCTGTGGTTCCTATCTTTTAGCTGCTGAGTTTGGGTACATAATAGATTTGCTGCTTTATAATAAAACTTTTTGACTTAGCAGAATAAGATGGCTAATGCATTGATGGCTAGTACACTACTTGCAGTGAATTCTAATAATGGATTTTCAGGTCACGTGTTCTGTTGATGTATGTTTTAAAGGATATTTATTCAGTGCTTCTAGAGCTAAAAGAGTAAGGATTGGTCTTAGTTTGGGTAGGAAATACAAATGCAATTTTCAGCAGTTTTGATTCTGGTCTTGGTTTATGTTGATTTTAAGCGTGATTGAAGAAATTACTGATCTACTCTGGGCTCCGTGTTTAATGTTATAGAGTCCCTAGGATCCTTCTCCACCCAGAATTGCTGGTAGGCTTCGTACTGGTAGCCTAAACACTTTAAACATTATTTTTAGTTCTTTTCAATCAAAGGACGGGTTTCTGAATGTAAGCTAATTCAGTGTCTGCCTGAGACTGCAGAAAACCCATCTGTTTCAAGAAGCTCTTAAGCCTGAAATACATGTCCCAATATAAATACCTGTATGACCTATTTGCTGCCTGCTTTCATGGCAGATGCATCCAGTCAGTGTTGAGTGCAGTGAGAGATCTGGGTGACTGGTTGCAAGAGCAGGGAATGGAGAGTTGGACCACTGCCAGCCAAACCAAACCCCTGGCTGCCTGCTAGCTGCCAAAGCCGAGTTCTTCTCAACCCTACCACAGAGTCCTGTTCTCCAGCTACCTCACCAGCTGCAGTGCTTCCTCTCTCTCTGCCCTGCTTCTCAATCCATGTTCCTTCCCACAGTCCTCCAACACATGCGACATTAAATGGAGGGCTGAAGAAGAGAGGTTTTGACAGGAGTGCTTCCCTGGTGAATCACAGAAAACAGTTGGAGCACAGCTCCCCTCCAGCTTTGGCACCTTTCTGCCACAGCAAAAACACTACTTCTTCCACCATTGTTTGCTACCACATGCATCCTCCATACTTGTCCCCTGTTCTTTCCTACTCGCCCCCTGTACTTCTAGCATATTTTTAACTCGCCATCTATCCTTTTTAACTCATCCCTTCCTCGTCCTGCCCCTTGTTTAATTTCTCTCATATATAAGTGTCACATGAAAACATTGATACCTTTCCCTTCTACTAAACACTCGCATGTAAGGCCCTCCTAACCTCATATGTATTTAGCTACAACTGGTACGTTTGACAGCTGGCATTTTGCTCAACAAGCAGGCATGGGCAACCTTGACCCATGCTCTGCTCCACCGGCTGCAAAGCTGAGCTACCAAGCATCAAAGGCTGCACATGTCTTGTAAGCTCACTATTACTTGTCCTTCCTTATGTGGACGTAAGGAACAATCGATTGCCACCCTTTTACGACAGGCTTTTCTAGTTGAAGACTCTGCTAGACTGAGAAAAGTGGGGAGAAGGAATAAACACAGAGCCAACTGCAAGTGCAATCAGAAAAAAAAATTGCAAGGATCAGCTCAGCTTGGCAACCAGATGTGCACAAAGTGCCTACAAATCCTCATGGCAAAATCCAAACACCATGAATAAGTCTTGGTTTTGTTCTCTGTGTTTTTCTTGTAGCTATCAGACTTGGCAATGCCATGTTGCTGGCGCTGTCCCCCAAAGGGAAACCATGTCGTGGCAAGATGGAAAATGAGATCTACTTGGTGGGACTCCCACTAGTCTTCCTACAATGGAAGTAGCAAGATGCCAAGATGTTTGTCCCAGCAGGATACCTCTCCTTTAAGTTTTGAAGGTCCCCTCTCAGCCAGGCACGGCAGCGTCGTGCCACTGGTTTTCACACTAAACGTGGTTCGGAAAGGGGGTGCTGGCACGTCTCTGCTGCGGCCTGAGGCTCAGGAGCGTTTTTCTCCCACCAACGTTTTTTCTTTTTTTGTTGGGTGAAGCTGCGTTTGTACTTGTTGCTTTGCTCTGAGGTATCTAGCAAGGCGCTCCTCCGCTGGGGGCCACAGGATGAATTCAAGGGTGTTTTGCACCAGCGCTGCATGAGTCTATTGGGGGGAAGGGAGCGGGGGTCCATCCCATGACGTAATGACGTCCGAAGTGGTGGTGCTGGTCAGTTACGGGCGAGGGGGCGTGGGCTTTACCTCAGGAAGGCAAGTGCCGGTGCCTCACTAGTACAGTTGAAACCCCCGCTGGACTGCTGCGCAAATGGGATTCGGCATTTACTAGAGAGTGCAACAAATGCCTCCCCGTTCATCTCCCGGGGCCTCCACAGGCTCCTGGAGGTGCGGACCTTGGCGTGCTGGAGGCTGGCAGCCCGCACTGAGCAGCACCGCCGGGGCGGAGCTTCCCAGGGGCCCCGCCCCCTCGGCTTCACCTCCTCCTCCTCCTCCCCCCAACGGTGCGGCCGGGCGGGAAGATGGACAGCGGCTTGCCCCAATCAATGAGCAAGCCTGCGGACTTCCTCCCAATCAACTGCCCGGCGGGGTGGGCCCCGCCCAGTCCCTGGGGAGTTGCAGCTCTCCAAGACAATAAGACGTCGAGGACGTATTCGAACCCTGCGTAGTGGCTGAGGCGGTGG